AGTTTTGCTAGTCACACCAGAGATGACTTAGGCTAGGAAAAAAATATATTGTCTTTGATCAATTTGAAAGTATTTGGGCAAGTTTTGAAAGCTGCCTAAATTCAAAACTTAAAGACTTTTTTAAATTTCATTTTATTGGCAAGTATTGTTTTTTTTTTCAGACAATAACTCCTTTATTTGGCAATGTTTTGATCAGTGTAACCTTATGAAGAGCATTGGCACGGGGGTAATTTGTTTTTCTAAAATAGCTTCATAAATTGGACAAAATTTCACTTACCGGACCAGTTTGTCATTTAAGATTTATTGGAAAAGGTTTATACTATTTAAAATTGCATCTGTTAATGAAAGAATTGAGGTGAGCGTTCTACAACTACACCACTATAGCATGAATTCAATTAGATTATTTACAAATCTGCATATACTTTTAGTAGGGTCTTACTGTAAAGGTTTATATTTATTCCCATCTACTAAAAGTTTAAATATTCTTTGTTCATAGTCTTCTTTATCAAGAATACAAATACATGCAGATTTTATAGTTTTATATAGATTTTTCCCAGGTTTACTTGATTTTTAAAAAACTTGCCCTATCAGATAAAGAATGTGGTGATATGGCTGAAAACTGTACAGTTTAAAAAGATGTCAAAATGACAGTTTTTTGAGTACCAGATAATGGACCAAACTATATTGAATTAAAACAGATTACAATAAAGTTGCTAAAACAAATTAAATCTAGTTTCTTATGTTTTTTGTTAATAACAATTTTAAAGAGTAAAACAGAATAAAGAGAATTTATTGGGGTTGTTGTATTAATTTAAAACATGTTTTATTATCGATTTAAAATTTTTAAATTTTAATTTTTATAAATTTGAGTAAAAACCGTATGCCTTTGACTATTGATTACAGGAAATGTATCCTAATTTCCTGTCCAGGCCCTCTCTTTTACACATTTTCCATAACAATCCCTGAAGCTGACTATAATTAAGAAATCAATATAGTACTGTCTTAAAAGTATATCGAAAACATAATGAACTTTTATGAGTTTTAATAATATTTTGTAAAAAATTTTGTAATTAGGTGCTTTGTTAAATATATTTTAAATTTATAAATAATATTTTTATAAGTTTAAAACTTTTTTTGAGAATAGAGCCCATTTTATTTTGATTAAATAAGTCTTTACAAACATAAAAAAGAACCCCTTTTTTTTTGAAAAAAAAGACCCTTTCAAACACCCTAATGTGTATATAAATATATATATATATTTATATATATATATATATATATATATATATATATATATATATATATATATATATATATATATATATATATATATATATATATATATATATATATATATATATATATATATATATATATATATATAAAGGGTGTCCCAAAATTAACGCAAGATTTGAGTTTGCCGCCATTTATCCAGTACAGTGTTGCCAACCCTAAAAACAAAATAAATCGACAGTTGACAGTTTAGGGTTAGTAAAAATGGAGCGTTATGCAATAGAACAACGTGTCTTCATTGTTGAGCAATATTTTAAAAATAATGAATGCTTGGCGGCCGTAGTTCGAAAATTTCATACAAAATATGGTCGGAATAGTGTTTTAACTTCGTCAACTGTGAAGCGATTAATTGAAAAATTCCGAGAGACAGGATCCGTGGGAGACGCCAAACACACTGGTCGTCCAAAAACAAGCCGTTCAAATGTCAATATAGAGGCAGTGCGTGCGAGTGTCGGTGACAATCCAGGAACCTCAATTCGGCGTCGTGGACAAGAATTGCAAATTTCAAGAAGCTCTCTACAGCGTATACTCACTAAAGATCTGTGTCTCCATGCTTACAAAATTCAATTAACACAACTACTGAAGCCCAATTACCATGCACAGCGAAGAGAGTTTGTTGAATGGATTATTGAGCAACAACAAATGAATGCTGATTTTTCGAGTAAACTCACCCTAAGCGACGAAGCACATTTTCACCTTGATGGCTTTGTTAATCGCCAAAATTGCCGCTTTTGGGGTTCTGAAAACCCACATGTGATTGTCGAAAAACAAATGCATCCACAACGTGTCACAGTTTGGTGTGCATTTTGGGCTGGAGGCATAATTGGACCATACTTTTTTGAAAATGAGGCTGGTCAAGCAGTGACTGTTACTTCTGCTCGATATCGCGACATGATAACACGGTTCTTTTTGCCGAAATTGGATGATATTGATGTGGCCAATATGTCGTTTCAACAAGACGGTGCCACATGCCATACAGCCCGTGAAACACTTCAATTATTGCATGAGACATTTCCAGGTCGTGTACTCTCTCATTTCGGTGATCAGAATTGGCCCCCTAGATCGTGTGATTTAACACCATTAGATTTCTTTTTATGGGGATATCTAAAATCACAGGTCTACGTCAACAAGCCCACAACTACGCGTGCATTAAAGGAGGAGATTCAACGTTGCATCAACGAAATTCAGCCACATTTATGCAGAACGGTCATGGAAAATTTCGACAAACGAGTGCGTATGTGTATGCAAAGCCGCGGAGGCCATTTGCTCGATGTGTTATTTTATAAATAACCCTATCCTATGTACTTTATGAATCAATAAAAAAATTACAATCAAAAGACTAAAAACTGTGTTTTCTATTTAATTCAAATCTTGCGTTAATTTTGGGACACCCTTTATATATATATATATATATATTTCACTGAAATAAAATCTCCTTATATCATTGATGTAGTTGTTATGTGATGTTTTATTTTTTGGGAATGATATCTAGTTGAATAATGAGTAGGAGCGAAAGTAAAAAACTCAGAAAAAGACAAATCAACTAAGTTGTGCATAATCTTATAAGTCATTAAAAGATCAAGTTTTATTCTCCGGCATTCAAGAGAGTCAAAATTAAAGATATCAAGTCTTGAAGCATAATTTTTATATGGAATACAACACCGTTTGCAGACAATTTTTGTATAATGTTTCTGGACCTTTTCTACCCGATGTATACCTTTTAAAAGATACGGATTCCACACAGGGGTACATGACTCTAAAATTGGTCGAATATAAACTTTATAGGCTCTTATCAAAAGTTGGAAATCATTACTGATGAAAGACTTTAAGAGTAGGTAAGCACAAGAACTTGCTTTGCTAGCAATGTGAGAGCAGTGTTTAGAAAATTTCATATCGGAAGGAATAAATATCCCAATATCTTGGATTGAATCAATTGATTCAATAGGCATGTCGATATATCCAATAAGTATGAATGTTCTGGTAATAGATTCTTTCCGTATCGCAGGTGAAAACACTTTTTGGTAGATATATTGAGTTGACAATTATTTGACCATTCTGAAATTCTCTTTAAAGTATTTACAAGGTTGATATTATTTCCGTCTGCAAAAAGCTTGATTCCACAATCCCCCTCAATACACGAGGTTATATCGTTTATAAAAATAAAAAATAAAATGGGTCCCAAAACAGTTCCTTGAGGTATTCCACTTTTTACATGAATGATGTTTGAGTATGAATCATTAATACAAACACATTGAGAACGATTTGTCAAGAAGTTTGTAACCCAATTTAGCAACTCATACTTGATACCGTAACAACGCAGTTTAAATAGTAACTTAGAGTGAGACACAGTATCGAAGGCTTTCTCAAAGTCTATATAGATGATATAAACTACCTTTTTATTATTAACAGCAGTGGTCTGCTCATTTAATGTTGTCAACATCTGTGTATATGAGGATCTATGTTTTAAGAAACCGTACTGATGCACAGAAATGAAATTATTCAGGAGTAAATAACTTGTAACGCTTTCCGTGATAATTGATTCCATAATTTTACAGACAATACATGTCATAGATCTATATAATTATAAGTCTATAATTTGTAGATAACGACGGGTTTCCTTTTTTAAATATTATTGCGGTTTTCCAGATCCTAGGGATAACATATTCGGACATTGACATTTCAAACAGAATAGAAAAAGGAATAGCAATAACATTTGCAATTGACTTTAAAAATATGGCAGTATATCCATCAGAAGATTTGGAAGATTTAGGTGGAAGTTTTTGTAGATGAGAAACAACAGAATTGTACAAAAATATAATATTATTTAAAGAATTTTTGTGTTTTGGTAAATATATTGTAATACCATTTTGTCAGTAACAAAAACAAAACCAAAAAAATTGATCAAAAGTTGCGATTTTTCACAATAATCTGTAATAAGGGAACCATCAGTTTGAAGTAATGGCGCAACAGAATTATAGCATTTGGATTTTTTATTTACGAAAGAGTAAAACTTGGCGATATTGGATTTAACAACTAAATCTTTCTCTCTGGAAATGCAATTTTTTTGAACTTTTGCATCATATAAATGGGAGCAGATCTTGAATTTGACAAGATTAGATGGATTAAATTTTTAAAAACAATAAAATTTAATGTACTTCCGCATTAATTTAATTGCTTTGACATTTCGACGACAATTAAATACAGCTTAAGAGACGAGGTAATTAAAATTGTTGTCGTAAGAGACTTTTTTTACATTAAAACGCTCTTTCGACTACACTATATGGATATATATATATATATATATATATATATATATATATATATATATCAGGGGCTATTCTAGGAAATGTGTGTATGTGTGTGTATATATATATATGTATATATATATATATATATGTGTGTGTGTGTGTGTGTGTGTGTGTGTGTGTGTGTATATGTATATATATGTGTGTGTGTGTGTGTGTGCGTGTGTATATATATGTGTATATATATATATATTTATATATATATATATATATATATATATATATATATATATATATATATATGTATATATATATATTTATATATATATACATATATATATATATATATATATATATATATATATATATATATATATATATATATATATATACATATATATATATATATATATATATATATATATATATGTATTTATACATATCATAATGATCTGATTTTAGCATTGAAAGAAATCTCTTCTCTCTACGCCAATTTTGTTGAAGAGCAATATATGAGTATATTTGCAATGGCACTACCTTATACTGATATATTTAAATACTCAATTTATGTTGTTACTCTAGCTCATCAAGTTATTGCAGACTGGTTTACTAGATGTAGACTAGCTTTTAGGAAAGGTTTTGTGACACTTATTGCAAAAGCATTAAAGTCAAACATAAAAACCACTTCTGATAAAAAAGATGAAAGTTATACTAGAAAATGCATTTTACATGAACACATGACAGAGGTATGTTTAGATATGATGGCTCGATATTCTTTTTCTAATCATTTGTGCCAACCCCAGCGTTCCCCTGTAATCAACTACCTACTTGATAAAGGTGATTCTCAAACATGGCTTTTATCCAACATGCTTATTACTATTACAACTAGTTGTGGAAGTCAAGAAAAATGTCTTTATTGTTCATCTAATAAATCTAGTATTAAAAAGAATGAATTGCCTACAAAAAAAAAAGAAACTTGTAATAATATGCAGGAAGTTTTTCTGAATATACAATCAACACCCACTACTCCTAAAGTTATTAATTCTCAAGTTTCTCTAAATAAAATTACTTTAGAATCAATACCAGTGGTAACAGCATCTTCTTGTCAACAAGCATATGATGGAAATCAAAGTTCATGCGAAGAAGAGGGTACAGAAGACGAAGTTACTCCTTTAGTAGTGAAAGTTGCTCAAGAATTAGTTCAATACCAAGACCAAGTGTACTCACCCTCAGAGCAGCTTTTATTCAGTCGCCAAGTCTCTAAAGTTTGTACTAATGAAAAAGAGGATATGGATATTGATCATTATGATTACAATCATGATGATGATGATTATGATAACAATGATGATGGTGAATTTAGTGTTTTGAATAAAAATGAGAATAAACTTGAAAATGAAGTCTTGCAGTTTTATATTGACGAAACTCAATGCATAAAGAACTACACACAAAATGTTTCAGTAAAAGAAAAAGAGCCAATCGTTTCCCCAATCCTCTCTTCTAATTATAATAAATTGCCAGAAATTCCTTTTATAAAATTAGACCATGAAAAAAAAAATCCAGCTAATGCTAAACACAATAGAGTAGGTGAGTGTAAATGCATTTCAGAAGGATGGGCTGAGGTTTACATCAGAAGACCAACAGGAAATGTGTCTTGGATCATGAGAATTGAAAATAACTTAAATTTACCTCCATGTACTTTATCTGAACTTTCATTATTGGCTTCAAGTCTTGAAGGTCATTCTTTGAAGGAAAAATTGAGTATGTTAAAATTGTTGTTAGTTTTTATTACTTTTTTTTCTTTATATATATATATATATATATATATATATATAATATATATATATATATATATATATATATATATATATATATATATATATATATATATATATATATATATATATATATATATATATATATATATATATATATATATATATATATAGATATATATGTGTGTATATATATATAAATATATATATATATATATATATATATATATATATATATTATATATATATATATATATATATATATATATATATAGATATATATGTGTGTATATATATATAAATATATATATATATATATATATATATATATATATATATGTGTGTGTATATATATATATATATATATATATGTATATATATATATATATATATATATATATATATATATATATATATATATATATATATATATATATATATATATATATATATATATATATATCAAGCCTTCCCGGGAAGTGCATGCGGTAGCATGTCTTTTTTGTCCACGGTTAAAGTAATTTTTTTAAACAAATTGACCACGGCAGTTCGCATCTTTTAACTTACAAGGTGTTTCAATTATTTGCAGCAAAAAGCTAGACTTATCTATTAAGAAAAAAAAAACAATTCTAAAAAATTTACTTAAAAACTTAAAAAAAATGTTTTAAATAGGCTCCTTAAAATTTTGTTAAAAAAGTTAAGTAAATTAACAATGCACTAGCCCACCAGATTTTGAAGTATTGTTTCATTTTTTTAGATGAAAAACTTGTTTAAAAAATTTTTTTTTATTACAAATAAATAGCAATTAGTTTTTAGTTCCTGTTCATTGATAAAAACAGTATAGTTTAGCAAAGATTTTTGAAAAACAAATTTAAAAACTGTCCGTGTTTTTAGCGCAAGTTATAAAGTATTTCCTTAATATACTGACTGATAATAGTCGCGAAAAAATTGTTTATAAAAAAATTTTTTTTTTTTTTTTGTTATATTTTTATCTACTTTTTTCCTCGACATCAATTTTGGTAGTGTAAAATAACAAACACCCTAAATGCAAGAAAACAAAAAGAGTAAAATGTTTAGTTATATTATTTATATATATGACAACAATTTTCTTTTTTTAAATTTCAATTTTTTTTAGCTTATTTTATTTAGACTTTATTTCGTATAGTCTTCGGTTCTTTTCTTTGAATATTGCTGTTTTATTCTCTAGTTTTTTATAGCTTTATTTTGCCACGAATTCTTAAAGCGTTTACTATATAAACATGTGGTCAAGTTGTCTAAAAAAGTTACTTTAAGCGTGGGCAATAAGGTGTGCGATCGCAGGCGCTTACCAGAAAAGTTATATATATATATATATATATATATATATATATATATATATATATATATATATATATATATATATATATATATATATATATATATATATATGTATATATATATATATGTATATATATGTGTGTATATATATATATATATATATATATGTATGTATATATATATAACACTTTATAAATTTTGTAGGATTTAGACTATTTAATGGTTTAGGTGCCATTAAAATTGGTTTGCAATGTCTGGCTGATTTATGTTTTTTTTAGCAATACAAAATTAATTTCAGGGTTGCTATCATTTTTAGAGGGACAAACTGTTTAATTCATGATAGTCTGTCATACTGTTTTTCTCTGTTTACTTTAATTTTTTTTTTTTGAACTATTGTTATTTATTACAATAGATATTATAAAACACTTTAAACCATTTTAAAACAATATTTACTCATTTTGTATACTTTGCTTTAATATCTTCTATACAAAACAATTTTTTTTAAATAATTTTTAAAATTGTCTAAAAGTTCTAAATAACAAAATGGGGAAAAAAGAAGCCATCAGTTCTAAAAAATTATTCAATATCTTCTGACTGCTAAGCATTACTCGATCAATCAAAATGTGAGATAACAAGATGGCCTCCCATTAGATATTCAAAAGTAAGGCAAATGTGGTCAAAAAAAGAAAATAACACCAAGGCACGAGAGAAAATAGTGAAAGAAAAAAGAATTTGCTACAAACTCACCAATTACTAGTAAGTTGAATGAGGCAAGACTAAGTATAGCAACAATCACTGTTCGACAAAGTTTTGCATGGATTGGGCATTAAAAGTAGAAGGCCAGCACAAAAACCTAAATTAACCAATTCTCAGAGAAAAAAGCGCCTAAATTGGGCGTAGAAGTACAGTAGTTCAGCAAGTCATTATAATACAAAAATAAAAAAAATTTTCTTAATATTCTAGTGTTGGTATTTAGTAATTGTTTTTATCCAGGCTTCAGCGATGAGTCTACCATAGAAATTTTATCCAGGCTTCAGCGATGAGTCTACCATAGAAATTTTGACTCTAAGGGCTTAATATGTGAAAAGGGCTTCCAATGAAAAGTTTCATAAAGATTGTATAATCAAGACAATTAAACACCTTCCTAAAGTCATGTTTTGATTGGTTTTTAGTGGAAAAGGCCTTTGCTCAACTGTACATGTGGATCATTAAAACAGGACCAATGCAAAAAGGTCATTAAAACTCGTCTTTTACCTCAATTGAAGAAGTGGTTTCCAAATAAGCAGAAGAAAATATTTATGCAAGATGGAGCACCATACAACACGATAAAATCCATCAAAATATTATTGACATCTCTAAAAATTTCACATTTTGATTGGCCAGGGAACTCTTCAGATCTACACTCCATAGAAAATGTGTGGAAACTATTAAAGATAAGAATCTACACTACATAGAAAATGTATGCAAACTATTAAAGATAAAAATTTTGCTATAAAAGGTCACAAACATGACCCAATTGATTGAAAAATTTATTTGGTATTGAAACCATAATGTACATTTGAAAGAAATTTAAATTGCATCTATAGCATGTCAAATCGTTTTCGTGCAGTTGTAAAATAAGAGAGAATAAATGAAATAATAAAAATTCATGTTAATACACATATTCTTATTGTTATTTTTGTATATTTTGCTGGAAATAGTTATACATTATTTATACATAAAGTTTTTATCTGTATTTTTATAAAAACATAAGTTTTACCTCTAACAAGATAAAAAATACAAAAAATATCAAAATGCGCTAATAAATTGATCAGACACTGTATAATTTAATGGTCGGACATCAGACATTGTCCGGCTAAAACCTCAGATAGTCCGCTCAATTTACAAAATAATCGGACATTTTGACCAACAGAAATTAAATTCTACAAAATAAAGTTTAAATAAAATAAAATTACTTAAAAACTGATCTTTTAAAATGTTTAATAAAAGTTAGGGGTCGTCAATAAATTACGTTACGCTTAGGAGGGGGGAGGAGGAGGCAATTTTGTGATAATTTGTTACAAGAGGAAGGGAAATTCTCAATTTTGTAATGCAACATTTTTTTTTTTTTTAGAGAAGACTTTCTTTTAATTAAAAGAGTATCTGACTAAACCAAAACCCTCAGTTGATGTTCTACATGTTGATTGTAAAATCAAATACGCCTAAATCTTACTTAGTTGATGTACACTCCGTTAACGGAGTAGTTACAGCCTGTTAACAGCTTTATGTGCAGTGCACATTCTGCGCTTTGAATTTATATGGCTCAAGTGCAGAACTTTATTTAGTTAGTGCACAAAAGTGTGCAGCAACAAAAAAACAATCTTTGTGCACTAACTAAAAAAAGCCTAAGGTGGGGGGGGGGGGTCAATATTAGCCTTTTATTTTTGTCAAACAACCATTTACAATTAAAGGTAATTTTCGATAAAATATTTAAAAATATTAAATACAAGTACATTTCATTATTTATAGTAGTTACTTATCATCAGTAATCTTTGGTAATAAAAATTGAAAAAAAAAGTGTATTGTTAGAAAAAATCATGAAAAGAATCTTGATTGGTAGTAAGTTCAATATGTTCTTTTTAAAGTTTTGAGAGGTATTGGCTTCTTTATGTATCGGTTTAATGTTTTATGGAAAATATTTTCGAAAACCTTCGGCGTTTTTTTTTACTAATGTTGAAACATAAATTGTGTAATTTTGAAAATATTTAATTTATAAATATCAAGTGCCCTCATGCTTTTTAGAAGAGGTTTAGCATTTGTGAAGCGATTTTGAAAATGAATAATGCGTGCTGTATGATTCTGTTGTTTAAGGAGACAGTCGAGTTTAGATTTATTTGTACTACCCCAAACAATATTGCCTTAAGATAAACAACTATTTATAAATGCAAAATATAGTTGAGTTAGTGTAGATTTGTCTAAGATTTGTCTGGTTTTATATAAAATGCCAATACTTCTTGAGATTTTATTGCTAATATGTTTAATATGACCACTCCAGGATAAGTTTTTATCTAATAAAATACCAAGTAATTTATTTGTGAATGACTGGTGTCGTCTGCGAACATAATAGTAGACATAGTATTTGATGCTTTATATAGATTGTTGACATAGATTAAGAATAGCAGCGGACCTAAGATGAAGCCTTGTGGAACCCCACATGATATTTTAAGTTTGTTTGTCTGAAAGCCATCATTTAGAGAAATAAACTACTTTCAATCAGTTAAGTAACTGGTAAACCATTTTTGGTATTCGTGGCTTATTCCATAATATTTTAGTTTTTCTAACAAAACCTGATGGTTAACCGTGTCAAATGCTTTTGACAAGTCTAGGAATATACCTAAGGTGAACTTGTTATGAGAAGATGCTCCACTGATTACTTCAACAAGTTGCATAAATGCATGTTCCATAGAGTAATTTGATCGAAAACTATATTGGTTATAATAAAGATTGTTACCATACAAAAATGCAAATATCCTATTATACATGATACGATCAAGGATTTTTGAAAAAACAGGTAATACCGATATAGGTCAATAATTTGTAACCAGACTTTTATCTTCTGATTTAAAAATGGGTGTAATAATTGCAACTTTCATTTTATCCGGAAAAACACCTGTTTTATGCGGTTTGTTA